AATGTACTTAAGATATATATTCACATGCTCTCGACGTGCATATCTATCTGTGTGCATGCACAGAAGAAACCTCAACACATAGGTATGTTTCCATGTACGTGCTCATGCATGTATGTATGCCCTCACACAAGAAGTATGTACATGGATATACAATATACTGCACCACAGAGAAACATATTTTTCAATACACTGAGACATAGACTAGTAATACATGCGTGCACTAATGCACACACCTACCCATATACACATGCTGACACACTTCTCTATAAACATCTAGGCACAGGAACCTTCTGCTCAGGAATACACACAGACCCTGCTTCCTCAAATCCTGATACTGATGCTTGCCTGTGTGACTTTGAGCAAATCGGTTAACCTCTTTGGGCCTTGGGACTGACCCAGATGGTCTCAGACATCTCTTACAGCTCTGTGACTGGTGTATCTACAAGTATATGCTCTCACATGCTTAGAGAATCAGGGTAGGACAGAGGCGGTGAGCCTCCCCCCCCCCCGCCCCCCCACCTGCACAGAGTGTACATCACCATATTTGTCTCTCCCTCCCTGCTTGCTTCATCTCTGTTCTATCCCTGAGTGTCTCTATTCCTGTCCTCACGCCCTCCTCTCTCCCAAACATCTCTGTCTCTTGCACGGGGAATGTCTCTGTCTCAGTCTGCCTAATTCTGGGCCTTCCTCTCCATCTCAATCTCCATCTCCATCTCTGGGGGAAGATGGATCCCCAGCCCCTCGGATGACAATGCCGTCTGCGCAAACTTTAATTAACACTTTGAGTTAATTAGTTCGAGATCATTTAGGAATAAAATGTTTTTATTAGGGAGGCGGCGGGGCCGTGATGGATGGTGCCGATTCGCTCTTCCGCCCGCGGGGACAGGCGGTAAACAGGAATCAATCAGGAAGGCCTCCTCACTCCTCCCCCCCCAGGCCCCGCACCCAACACTCAGTCCCTTCCTCTCCCTTTCAGGTTCCCAGCCTCTCTCCCCCAACATACAGGTTGTCCCTGCCAAGAAGCCTTTGGGGAAAGTGGCGTAACAGAAAGAGCACTGGATTTGGAGTCAGTGGCCTGGAGTGGGAATCCTGCCTCTGCTATTTACTGTGTGAGCCCGCGAAAGTTTCCTCGTCTGTAAAACGAGGCAGTCCTTTATGTCTCTAAACCCAATTGTCCTAGCAGATTCTCTCCCCCTCGGGGACACTAGCTTCCCTACTTAACTTCCCTCCCGATTTCCCCAGGGAACTTTGTGGCTGTGCAGCCTCCAGCTCCAGATCCCCACTCAATCCCACCTCCAAGACCTGGTATCTATTCATTTGGAGGGCCCACCATCTCACTGGGGACTCCAGTGTACAGGGACCACTTCTATTCCTCCTAGGAGCCTGGTGACTCTCCCTGTGGAGGTTCTACAGCCTGCCTGATGTGGCGAACTGAGCACTCGGCAGGAGAGAATCCATAGACCTCCGTTCCATGCCCATCTGTGCTGCTGACACACTGTGTGACCTTGAGCAAGGTTCATCTCTCTGGGCCTCGGTTACTCCATCTGTAAAATGGGTGAGGGGACGATAGCTTCCCACCTGCCAGAGATCATTGGTGTCCAGCACCATCTCCAAGGGACAGGAGCCCAGGGCATCCAGCACTGTCCCTTTCCCCACTTCCCCTCCTCCCCTCTTCTGTTATCTTTGATTCTCTGACTGAGTCTCTCCAAATCTCTGTGTCTCCAGGTATCTGAGACTGTCTCTCTGAATGTGAGCGTCTCTGTCTCTCCAAGCCTGTGCCTCACTCTCCGCCTCCGTTTTTCTCTCTTGGTCTGGGGTCCCTATCTCAGTCCCTCTGAATCTGTCTCACTGAGTTTCTATCTCTGATTCCGTCTCCCTGTCTCTGAGGCTATCCTTCCCCTCCCTACCAGGGTGATGACTTCATCAGGGGCGGGGGCAGGGCCTGGACTGAGGCCAGGCCGAGGCGGGGGGGCGCGGGGGGCCGGGCCGGGCCCGGGGCCGATAAATCTTCATCAGGCGGCGGCGGGGGGGGCCATTAGGCGCTAATGGGAAGATGGAGAGGGCCTGTCGGCCGCGCGGGCCGCCGCTCATTTGTCCTGCTTTCCACTCCATTGGGCGCCGCCCCCGCCCCTCCCCCTCCCCTCCCTCTCCCCCTCCCTCTTGCTCCCCCCGCAGCGCGAGCCCCATTTCCGCCTCCAATCCGCCCCCCGGGGCCTTCAGCTGCAGAGAACTGGGGGTGGGGGTGAGGATGGAAAAGGAGCTGGCGGGGGGGGGGGCCACAGAATATTGGGAAGTGGAGAGAATATGAGTGTGTGTGTGTGTGTGTGTGTGTGTGTGTGTGTGTGTGTGTGTGTGTGT